ATACAGGTCCAAATTATACCTACAAACTACGCCGAAGTTCTGACGACAAAATACACAAACCACTGGTCCATGCCAACCGTCTGAAGCCATATTTTGATCCTGTTGATCGTCCACAGTATCCTCCAGAACCATACCTCAATGACACCAGTAACATAGATTCAGGAGTCATGGATGACAATGAGGAACCAGTCAATGATTCACAGCCAGACAGCAACAATTCCCAGTCGACAATCTCAACTTGTCAAGAAACTAATCAATCACCTCATCCACAGAAAGGTAACAAGGACAATTCAAAAACTAAGGCAGGCACTTCCGGCAACAAGAATTCGAAAGCGAAAGAGAAGAAAAACCCTGCTCCAAGTACAACAGAAAAACCTGCCAGTCCCAGTACAACAATGACGAAGGAAAATCATGGTCCAATCAAGGTAACTGAAAAAGTAAACAGAGGGAAAAGAGGAGTGAATAGTAAGTATCACCAGCCAAAATCCAGAAAACAACATGACGACAGTCAGGTACAACCTCAAAGTCAGAGTCCAACATCAGGTAATCAAACCAAGGATATCCCTCCTATTTTCAATCCAGAGGACATCCACTCAATTGTAAGTTCTAAGAGAGCAAATGGTAAAAGCTACTACAGAGTGAAATGGAAGGATCCAGAAAGAGTTAACACATGGGAGTATGGCAGCAGCATTCCAGACTCCATTTGGAGAGAATTTCACCTCAAAAGAAGTATGTCAGGAAAACAAAGAAACGTCCACAGAAGAATCATAAGTTTTTCGATCAAAAGGAATCAGCACAAGACAATAAATCAGTCAATGTTCTGTCAGGGAATAAAAAGTCGAGCAAGACAACACCAAACCATGCATAGAATTAGATGTCAAACCATATCCGTTTTTTCCAGAACACCCACGAACAGTAAATCATTTAATAAAGAGCGTTATGGGCATTGAAATTATTCAAGGAAACTGCTATGTTAAGGTCTCATATACCAATAACAAAGATGATCATAATCACCTCACATGCTATTTTGAAAGTGTTCCTCTCCACCTCATACAGCGCTACCTTGATGATAGCTGGAAGGATCTCTGTAAGTGGTCCTGTGGATAAGATAATCCCCATATGATCCAGATGATCCAACTACCAATTTATACATCCACAAGGGTTATATTTCCACATAAAGACTTTGGAAACATCAACACCTTTTTCTACCGTATTTCAGCCACAGACTGTAGTCCCCATCTACCATACCTTGATCAACTCCCCATATATACCTGTAGATGCCTAATGAAAATATTCTTGTACAAAATACAAAATCTCCTAAACAAGTGGTGCAAATCTCTAAACAGCTGTTAGCTGTATCTTGTTATGTTTTCTGATAACTTTTGTTATTGTGTCCAATATGGGTCACCAATTTCGCCAGTTGAGAACAAAAAGCATCGGCCTGATCATCTGAGTTATTTGTATCACAGCAAATTTTGAGCATTGACCTGATCAACCAGTCTCAAAAGTGAAGTGAAACGAGCCACCCAAAGTAAACCATAACAAACTGAAACCGTACCAAAGCGAAGCAAACCATACTGCGAATCGAACCGAAACCGTACCAAAGCGAAGCAAACCATACTGCGAATCGAACCGAAACCGTACCAAAGCGAAGCAAACCCTACTGCGAATCGAACCGAAACCGTACCGAAGCGAAGCAAACCGTACTGAAGCAAAATAAACCAAACCCTATCACATTGAACCGAACGAAAATCAAAGCGAAACAAATTAATGCAAACCATACCCTATCGCATTGAACAGAACGAAAATAAAAGCGAAACGAATCAATGCACTTGTTATATGCACATACACATATATGTAATGCCTCTAATGATTGTAGGGCGGTCGGGTGGTTAAAGTGTTCGCACGTCACGCCAAAGACGTTCGATTCCCGATATGTATGAAACCCATTTCTAGTGTCCCCCGCTGTGATATTGCCGGAAAATTGCTGAAGCGGCGTAAAACCAAACTCACTCACTCTAATGATTGTATCCAAAAAAAGAAGGATATTTTTAATCCATGATATACTTTGTGTAATTTGACGCCAATACATTCTTCCTGGTCATGACACCATTTAGTAATAATTATGTACTGATCTTTTACATCATATTTGTTTTATTTTCTATATATGACATATTATTTGAACATGCTAACTCTCTTTTCTTTGTTTTCCATGTAAAACCTCTATAACGGATAATGGACACAGCCAACTATCTTAAAACCTCAAACCAGGTTGTGGAACTCAAGGCCTGTGTAAGATGTTTCTAAGAGTCTTGTCGGTGGTGAATGTCACATTCATGTTGGCTATTTTTGTGAGACGGTAGCGCCTTGGAATGGGATGCTGATGAGGAAGTGTGATGGTGCTGGTAGGACTTGGAAATAGGATCTTTTTGCTGGGTTTCCATGTGGGATTATCGAATGGTTTTCTCTACAAGATGTTTGGTGTATCCATTGAGGGTGTAAAACGTGTGTTTAAGTGGCTGGATTTCTTTGCTGAGACTGTCAGAATAGCAGATGACTGTGGCCCGTCGGGTAAGAGTGACGCCTTCGATTCTTTTCTCTTTAATGTACTTAGCGTATACCCTCTATCAGACGCCGAGTCTCTAATACACTCCCGTCTGAAATTGACACGCGTCATACCTTCTGTCCATAAAATAGAAGCCAGGTCTCTAACAGAGGCCGGGTCAACGGCTTACGCGTAATTATAAGACGCGTCTATTGGAGGAAATACGGTACGCCTTGCATCCTAGCTCGAGTCTCAGGACAAGTTATTGTCTGGCACAGTGAATTGCGATGGGTAGTTTTGAGACTGGGTGCTTGTGGGTATTCAAAGGTACCCAAGTATATAAGGTGTGCCGACAACCACCCCATCTGCCTAAATAGACTGATGCATCATGTAGGCAATCATCACCTGCCACATGCCGTTATATCACTTAAAGATCCAATGCAAAAAAGTGGGACACCCAAGTAGGTATAAACAAACTTCATGCAATAAAACAAAGACAAGCTTAAACCAACTTGGGTTGCCATTCGAGATACGACGAAGTTGTTTGTTGACGATGTCGTATTAGCCACAATCAGCCACAATCGATATACCCATGAGTATCTAATGAAAGGCATGTTTGCTTGACTGTGTTGATTTTTCTCTCAACTATTGTCATTTTCTCTCAACTATTGTCATTCAACATCTTTAAAGTATCTTTTCTATAATATAAAGGCTCATTACATTTTCACGGTTTTTTAAAAGTAATAGTATTATTTGATACTGTTTTAGAATAGTGTGATATTATTGTCAACTGTGATTAATGAAGGCCGTGCCACTCAGGGGGTTAAAGAAGGGTAAATATATTGTCCCAAGGACAGTGGCATGTGAGTCCATTTATATCAAAGTGTTTAATATCAGTTAGTGTTTTAATTTATTGATTGTGGTTTGATTTTTTAATATTGATTAGCATTGCATACAACCACTCGAGACCAAAGTGATGGCACAAATCATTGTAAGTCCCCATGATCCCCAATTAGGTGGTCTAGCTTTCATTGCTTGTGGTCTATAGCCTGGTTTTAATTCATACTAACTAATCTACTGAAAAATTCTTTGTTTCAATATTGCTCAGGTTTGTTTTATATCTAAACTGTATAATTTACCTCACTGTTTTACTATCCTTCGTCGTCAGGTCTTTAATAATACATCATGGAATTTGCTCACGTGAGGCACTGTCTTCACCAGCTGATGAATGTCAACAAATACAACTTCAATCCATAAATGTACATGTACATAAGGTGCATACAGAGAGCCGGCTGTGTCCGGGGTTTTCATAACTTTGACACGTCCGCTCTCCTACCCATGCGTTCCATGCGGTCGGCCGCCAGCGTAGTTCCTCTGCCACAGGCCAGCTCCACGTGACGATTAGTCACACACTCCATTCAAGATATTGCATATGCTTTTCATCCGTTTCATTTTTGACAAGTTTTCACATTTTGAGACACAAATGTCTACGAATGGTTATGGTTCTTTAAGAAAGTATCCTAAAACGTGAAAATCTCCTTGTTTTTGCGAAGTTATCCTTTGTTAACATTGGTTATACGGCTCCACGTGCTGTCATCGTAGCCCAACGGAGAGCTAGCTATACGGTCACTTCGATGTATGAATATATATTGCCATGCAACTCACTGTCGCAGTTGTAGTAGCATATCTATACAATTATGCAAAACAATATGTAAAGCGCCCCCAAATACTTGCATTAGTCCGTTCCATACTGATTTATGAAAAAGCGCGTTTGTTTACACACAAGATAAAAGTCCGGTCACGTGATATGAAAATTAACCTGTTGCACTGGTTTTATGCCGAGTCACCACTGCGCCGGAGTGAGTGACACGTCATCATATATTAACCAATCATAGCCTTGGTTTGGTTACAAGGCTTGTTCGGCTTCGTAATGCACTGTCATCGATCGATAATGTGAGTAGGTCGGCGATCGGACCACGTTTCTTCCGAGAAACTAGATTATAACAACAGTTTGTTTCCTTATATAGAATCTACATGCATAACATCCAGTCGTAAAATAATACACTGTACTTTGATCATTTACACTAAAAAGTATTTATATTTTTTTACGCATGCATTTTGAATTATCGTCCACGATCAGTGTTACATAGATCTACATGTTCCATGCCAGTGTAAAATAATTGCGCCACTGTTCTATTCACAACCACCATTACGTAATGTGAACATCAGAACTGAATATCTGTACAGCGCTCTTTCCTAGAACGCGGGGTCGGTATCTTGGACCCCGATGGCAGTGGTATATCGAGGACTCACTGTAATAGTTAACTTGTTCTCATCGCGATATGGCTGGAATACTGCGGATGCGATGTAAAATATTAACTCACTCACTGAAGCACTTACTCAGTATATAACCAAACATATACCAAACAAACATATATATGAATAAAACTCTCACATTTCGTCAGTTGAACATGCTGAAGAGGGTGTGTGAGGTTCGTCTCACCACTGTCACCTGGAAAAGACGCAGGAAAATCACCGACCAAAATAACCTGGACTGAACATCGCTACTGATAACCTCTGCCTCGCTACCGCAGAATGCTTAAATATCCGACTCTGCGGGTGACATTCGTTATTAACGTCCATGGAAAAATCAACTTTCTCTTACACCTTGACAAGGGATGTAAGTAATGCAACGAATTTTTTTTTTAAAACATATTTTATTGCCGGGAATGGAATGGATTAGCACAAGTGACACACTTGACCTTCGAGACCTTCTCTTATATGCATTTCATTACAATGTGATATGAGTCATAACTGCAGAAAGTTTGTACAGTGCAGATAAATTATATACAGGTAACACACACAAACATACACACACACCACACACACGCACACACCACACACACATACATACATACACACACACATATATACACATACACACACCACACAAACACAGACACACACACATATGCACATACATACAAATACAAACATATAAACATGATACATATTTATTTTTATGTAATGTTATAGTTATCATTATACCATTACATGCATGGTACAATTCCTAACGATAAATATATACGAATACCAAAGTTCAAAGATATATAGAAGAAATATAATTAAGATATTTTTGGACTATAACCAACTTGTATTGAATATACAAGTAACATGAAAAACACGATACAATAGAGAAATAGATGGTGATGAATAACTCTAAATTGTTACATACAACATAATTTTAAATATTCTTTTTCCACTATAAATTGATGGACATATTTAAAAAAAAAGAAAATAATTTGTTCTTCAGATAGATTTTTGACACATATAATTTTTGCTAACTTAGCATCATAATGCTGATAGACAAATATTTCTTATTAAAGTATATTTCTTACATTCAAGAAAATCGTGAAAAGCATTTTCGCATGGTGAACATGGTTCAACATTTTCATTTTGTGAATTCCATTGCATTAATGATTCTATAATAAATGTCTTTTGAAACGTTCTTGGCAAAAGGAACGATTATTTGTTACATATTTATACTTTGAAGCAGCTGGTCTATTCTGAGGTTACAAATCATTTAGGCATAAGGGATTCGTTCATTAATATTTTGTCTACTGTCGTAAGCTTTTTCATTCATCGTCTCTCTTTCAGTTTCAGTGGTTGCCAGTCCGTTTCAAAATACAAATTTTCTTTTGAGGCAAATTTGGTCAAACCTGTAATAATTCTAGCAGCATCAAGCTGTATTAATTCAAGTATATTTATATTGTAGCAGCAACGTTGTCACACGCCTCAGATGCATATTCAACAATAGGTCTTACAAATGTCAGATAGATTATTGATATATGTACAGTTCATTTCGTATCTTGAGATAAAATGACACCAAGTGAGTTTCTACATGTCCAATGGCACTAATAGCATAACATAAAGGTTGATAATCCCATATCTGTTTGTGACTAAAAGGAATATATTTTGTCCAAGTGGGATTAGAATTTACCAGCCATGTGATTGCCCACTGATTAAGGGGAAAGATGGTCTTGATTTAGTCTTTCTTCAATTAAAACCGTATCAGTAGATGAAGTTTCAATACTTGTATCGTCGGCGAATAATCTGGTAATATTTTGAAACTGGTCAGTTATATCATTTATGTAAAGTAGAAATGGGAACTGGCCCAATACTGAACCTTGGGTGACCCCTAGCTTGGTGAATTTATTACTTAATAAACTTCCATTAATATGTACTCCTCAACTACGACACCACGCTATTAATTTACAAGTAATACAATATTGTGGAAGCTTGTGCAATATACCTTTCTGACATGCACAGAATATCATAAAAAAATATTTATGATCATCAGGCGAATTACTAATATGATGACAAATTCGATCAGTTGAAATTAAGTACTATTATTTGGCATGAATCCCGATTGATATTTTGAAAGTAGTTCAAAGTCCAGAAAGTAATTATACATTCTTATAAAAATAAGGCGCTGAAATAATAGTGAATTAGGTCTATACGTGTAGTTAGAAGGGTGTGATTTACAAAGAAACTTGACACCTATGAGAATGACAATATTCGGAGCAAAAGTCAAAACCATGCTGAGGTATAGCAAATAAGAGAAACATCCTGAGCAAACATCACATAATCGTATCGCCAAAATACACCTCAACACCGACGACTTCGATTTGGGTAAAAGCCATGAAAAAAGGCGATAAACGATGCAATTTGTATAACTGAAGAGGTGCACGTGATAAATGGCACGTGCTGATTAGATGATGGTGTCTACAACATACTACATACTACCCCCTCCCCCCCATTCATCGCATAGTCTACTTAGGACATTGAACTTCGTGTTGCAAATGAGAGTAGCCCTTTGGAGTTTGGAGGGCATAGTGATTAGAAATGTCGTCTCCACGTAGGTTCTAGCAGTCCCATGTTGTGAATCTTCGGTGCTGCGCATTTGCTGGCTCGCATGATCTCAGTCAACATTATATGACTATATTGATAAGAAGGGTTATCTGACGGATAAACCAGGCGTGATAAAATCAAATCTATGTCAATGTCATTTTGATATCAGACTTCGCTTCCGTGTATGGGTGCAGGGTCCATAAAACTATGACACCTTTATATTCTCTTCAATTCCCAATAAACCCATCATTTGTTTGTTAAACATGGAAAGTAATTAATGATTGGTACAGGCCATATCAAAAGAATTTTACGACCAGCATACGTTTCTGGGGATCAGTTCTAACCAAGCATTTCTGCAAAACGTCGGCGTTGAAATACAAAATAAGTCCTTCATATCTCAGTCACTATTCTCTAACTAAATATAGTAATGCACACATGGTGCATTAAGCGTTGATAATCTGTAGTCCTCGCGATCTAACTATACCGATTCAATGTGTCTTATAAGCCAAGTATTGTTACTAGAATGTTAATTCTACGCAAAGGTGTAGTTACGGCAGTCGTAGCCAAATATTCCTAAGAGGACGATAACTGCGAAGTCGTAAACATATACGACTTCGCAGTAATACACATATATTTCAGTGTTGCTTTCTTCGAAGTCATCACGGCATACATTTTATATATCGCCCTCAACACAATTTATGCCTACGACCGCCGTCAACATCTTAACGTAGAATTAACATTCCAGTAAAGAGTAGATACACAGTTGTAACACAGTGCCATGACAAGGTTGTAACACAGTTGTAACACAGTGCCATGACAAGGTTGTAACACAGTTGTAACACAGTGCCATGACAAGGTTGTAACACAGTTGTAACACAGTGCCATGACAAGGTTGTAACACAGTTGTAACACAGTTGTAACACAGTGCCATGACAAGGTTGTAACACAGTTGTAACACAGTGCCATGACAAGGTTGTAACACAGTTGTAACACAGTGCCATGACAAGGTTGTAACACAGTCCCATGACAAGGTTGTAACACAGTTGTATCACAGTGCCATGACAAGGTTGTAACACAGTTGTAACACAGTGCCATGACAAGGTTGTCACACAGTTGTAACAGTGCCATGACAAGGTTGTAACACAGTTGTAACACAGTGCCATGACAAGGTTGTAACACAGTTGTAACACAGTGCCATGACAAGGTTGTAACACAGTTGTAACACAGTGCCATGACAAGGTTGTAACACAGTTGTAACACAGTGCTTTGACAAGGTTGTAACACAGTTGTAACACAGCGACATGACAAGGTTGTCACACAGTTGTAACACAGTGCCATGACAAGGTTGTAACACAGTTGTAACACAGTTGTAACACAGTGCCATGACAAGGTTGTAACACAGTGCCATGACAAGGTTGTAACACAGTGCCATGACAAGGTCGTAACACAGTTGTAACACAGTGCCATGACAAGGTTGTAACACAGTTGTAACACAGTTGTAACACAGTGCCATGACAAGGTTGTAACACAGTTGTATCAGAGTGCCATGATAAGATTATAACACAGTTGTATCGCAGTGCCATGACAATGTTGTAACACAGTGCCATGACAAGGTTGTAACAAAGTTGTAACAGTGTCATAACAACCTTGTAGCACAGTTGTAACACGGTGCCATGACAAGGTTGTAACACAGTTGTATCAGAGTGCCATGATAAGATTATAACAGTTGTATCGCAGTGCCATGATCAGATTATAACACAGTTGTATCGCAGTGCCATGACAAGTATGTAACACAGTTGTATCGCAACGCCATGACAAGGTTGTAACACAGTTGTATCACAGTGCCATGACAAGGTTGTAACACAGTTGTATCACAGTGCCATGACAAGGTTGTAACAAAGTTGTAACAAAGTTGTAACAGTGTCATAACAACCTTGTAGCACAGTTGTAACACGGTGCCATGACAAGGTTGTAACACAGTTGTAAAAGTACCATGACAAGGTTTTCACACAATTGTAACACGCAGTCATGACAAGGTTAGAACATGGCTGTAATAGAGCGCCATGACAAGGTTGTTACACAGTTGTATCACAGTGCCATGACAAGGTTGTAACACAGTGCCATGACAAGGTTGTAAGACAGTTGTATCGCAGTGCCATGAAAAGGTTGTAACACAGTGTCGTGATAAGGTTGTAACACAGTGTCGTGACAAGATTGTAACACAGTTGTATCACAGTGTCGTGACAAGGTTGTAACAAAGTTGTAACACAGTGTCATAAGGTGAGATGAAATTGGGTTTAACGTCGCGTCCAAGATTATTGCACTTATATAGCAACGTACATGTACGTGTGTGTGTTTGTGTGGCTGCTTGTACTAGTCCGGACTGATGCCGATTTATAGTGCTAGCTCACTGAGATATCATGCCGCAGTTTAACATGAATACCCCACTCAGACACAGTATACTGACTCCCAGCCGACCAGTCCTTGTTTTAGCCCCTTAATGCCGAGCGCCAGACAGGGTAACAACAAGTACCATCTTTTAATGTCTTTTGGTATGACGCGGCCGGGGATCGCACCCCGGACCTTCCGCTCTCCGGGCGG